AGCAAAAAAGGCAATTTAAAGTGCTCTACATAAAACATCAAGTACTTGTTTAAGCAAAGTCTGAGTCCAGCTCATTAAAAAAGACACCCTGAAGTTAACCATCATCATAACCATAAAAAAAATATCACAAAGAGCCATAAAGCCACTTGTCAACAGCTCTCTCATTGGCTGAGGGATCTTTTTGCCAATCCACAAACCACCTGAGGTTAGCAATGACCTGACTGTAGTTTCCACCCAAACTCTGGCGCCAGGCACTGAATGCTTCTTTATTGTAACGATGGACAGTTGTAGAGACTTTTGGATAGTCTACAATACTACGCAACAGCTTGTCCAGATGTGCTAGAACATTTGGGTATTTTAGAGCTACATCATGTAGTTCTTCCTTGTCCAGTGTTATATCTGCAAAAAAACACAAAGTACAGTTTTATCATTGTTTTTTTTCATACTGAAAGCATATGAGGATTGAAGTTTAGTTTCTGAAATTAGGAACTCACCAAAAAGCTGTGGAGGGACACTCACACCATCTGCATAGGCAATATATTTCCACCGCCCACTTCTCAGCATGTAAGTAGAGGCATTAACATTACAGCCATGATATTCACTCAGAACCCAGTCTGGATGTTGCTTCTTGGAGAAAGTGCTGGCCTTGGATAGCAGAGGAAGGAGCGAGTGGCCACTGAGAATGCCTACTGCTGAAATATCAGCAATGTCTGCAAAATACACAAGTGTTACATCGAGTTAAAATACTAAAATCTATATCTGGTAGTGCTTTTATTGACAGCAGAGAGACAGTTCTCTAACACTTTTATTCTACCTTTCAACAGACATTTTAATGTATGTTTTCTGTCTACTTCCTCACCTAGCACAGTGGGATAGAGATCAACCAAAGACACAAGCTGGTTGACCTGCAGGCCAGACATCAGCCCAGGTCCCATGATCAGCAGGGGAACATGGGAGCTGCCTTCATACATTGACATCTTGTAGAACTGCCGGTGCTCCATGGCTAGCTCTCCGTGGTCAGCCGTGAAGATTACAATAGTGTTGTTAAGCATGCCAGTCTCTCTCAGAGCGGAAATCACCTGACCTGGTGAGACAGAGTGTGAGAGACACAGAGTAAGCATTGAGCTGCAGCTGGATTTTTACTTACTTTGATCTAATAAATGACTTAAATTGTAATGGCAGACCTTTGATATGCGAGCATGTTAAGTAACTTAAAGTGGGAGCATAAGTAAAGAAACAACTACTGCAATGCATACAAGCAATACAGAGCATTTAACTCTTGCTGATGCATGCTACAGGAAATCAATCTTCCATGACACTTTCATATCATTGTGCCTATCAAAAGCATTTACTATTCCTTTTGCCTTTATTTATTGAGGGAGGTTTCACCTACAGTAATTCCAGTCACAGTACCCATATGTTCTATTAGGGTGCATTAAATCAACAGTGACTGCTGAAGTAGTTCAGTGCAATTGACTGATATGCCTTAAATCTAGCTACCTGCTGTCACCTGCTATGCTATGCCTTGTTTTATTGCCAGATCGGTATGCTGGCTGTACTGGTCTCTCTCTCACACCACTTTACCTTTGTACTTGTATTTTGCCACATTGGGATCCTGTAAGACGAGTGCCTTGTGCATGTTTGGATCTGTGAACCTGAATAGGTTTGGTGCGGCTTCATTAGTAATCTTGGCAACAGAGTTTGGTTTGAACTTGAGCCATCTTGAGTCTAAAAACTTAGCTATCACACGCACTACCTCCTGCTTAGATAGTCCGCCCCCTGGTGAATTACTGCTGTCAACTAACCCAGCATGGCGTCTGCTTCGGCACACATGGCATAATAGTAGGCCCTTATGCTTTTGACTTCGTCCTCAGTGAAATCACTGCTGCAGTTTTTGGTGAAGGTGGAGTAGTAGTCGACAGGGTGCATGGCAGCCATAGGCAGCCATTTAGGAACAGTGATGAGCTCAGAGGACACCTGTGTGTGTAAAATAAGAATTTAGGCCTAACCTAATAGTGATTTATGATAATGGAGAGAAAGCATTCTAGACACAGGAAAAGAAATAGCATGCCTTTTCCAGCCAGTATGGTGAGGTAAGGAAGGTGGATCCTCCTGCGGTGGGCCCCAGGGATTCAGTTCTATACGGGTGAGGTAAATTGAGGCCAAGATACAGAGCGAAGGGCTGCTGTGACGATGCAGCTCTCTTGCGGATCCACTGTGCAGCCTTGTCTGTGGTTTCCCAGTCCTTCCTCATGACCCTTACTGTAGACATGTTCCCAACAAGTTGCGAAACAGGCCGGCCCTCTTGGCGCAGGAGGAACTGAACATCTCGTGTCCAGGCCTCGACTCGATTACTGCAGAAGTTGCACAAACACACAAATACTAACAAAGTGCAGGCAGAGACACATAAAAAAAGGGGAAGTGGAAAGAAGCATGTAAGGACAAGTGTCCCAAAAGATGATTCACACTGTTCTGGAAAATAGCTCCCCACATACACAGTATATTATTCTTTGTCATACACTAAAGTGCGTCTTTGGTGTTTTTGAGTGATGAATAGAAAGAAAGAAAAGGTTAGTGTAGGAGTTTTCCTCTGTATCTGAGATACAGGCTCACTCTTGTTCCTGACAGTCTGCTTACCTGACAGAGTGACTCCCTGAGGTGTAGTCCAGCTTGCCCATCGACTTGGTAACATATCCATTCGCCTCCAGCAAATCCATCCATGTTGTTGCATTAGCATCGAGACACTTATAGTTGTTCCATGACTGCGTGAGGTGAACAAACTGACCACTCCACATAGCTGCAAAACAGAGATAGAACAGTTGAAATGCAATCATTATACCACCTTTATTACCATCACATATGCCATAATATCTTTGTCCCCAGTGATGTTTTAATGGGTAACTTACCTGCTCTTGAGGGGCAGCAGATGGGCGAGCTGGTGTAAGCATTGAGGAAGGTAGCACCAAGCTCCCTGAGGTAGTTTATATATGGCAGCTTCACAACTTGGCTGCCAGGGTCAAAGGTCAATCGCCCATCCTGCAGAAAGAAAAAAAATAACATCTGGACCCAAAGCTACTAAGGTGCACAGTCCAACAAAGATTAAATGTGAAAAATACTGCATCTCTGTATGTTTAATCTTGAACTACAGCCTGTCCTGTCACAGTGCTGTAGCCTACACACATATAAAAACTCTACTGTTATTGTGTCAGTTACTATACAGTGGTAAAGCACTGTGACATGTAACATTATTCATACTTACAAATGCATCACTCATCACCATCACAATGTTGGGTCTGGTTGCATTTTGGCACAAACTTTGACCACAGATTTGAAGAAGGAATATCAAAGCCAGCACTTCCGTATTCATGACGTTTCACCTCTTCAGATATGGTAATGTGCCGATGTAATAATATAGATTTGTCAAGACTGAATGAGATTCATGACAGAAGACAGTCAAAAGTTGTTCCTGTTTTCAAGTACTGGTTATTTTCCGAGTCTGAGGGACTTGACATATACATCCTGGTTACGCTTTCAAAATAAGAGTTTTCTTATATTATGGCAAAAAGAAGCAGTCCAACTTTATGAAAATGTTTTGGGGATTTTTTTCTAGTGGAAAAAAATACTTAATTGATAAACAGAAATATTTACTCCCACTGCCACCAATAATTGCGAAAATAATTATAAGAATAAAAAGCTTTTACATGGGGATACATAAATAAAGCTTACCGTAATGACAAACTACAACCTCTAGGGGGCAGTATTAATCTTTTAACAAAACACCTCTGCTGAATATTGCTGTTGAGCTGGCACTGTTATGTTCACAACTGTAGAGTAGTACAATCACAGAGATGCATGTCTATGTGTTTGTGAGACTAAATATTTAGCCAATAACTTATGAAGTGAAACAGCCTCATACGACTGCAAGTGATGTCATATTAAATGAAAAGGGATAGCATGGAATATTGATTTTTAATTGATCTTGCAACCACAGACTTTCAGAGACACTGATATTATCCAACTACTTCCTGCAACTTAAATGCTCATTATCGCAGATAATTGTATTGCTGAATTGGTGTGGCACCTTGTAAATAACCACAATGAATCACAAATGTTTTGCATTGTCATTACCAGTGTGTTGACGGCAATGCACAATTACAGTGCTGTTCAACAGGTGACGCTGCAGCTCACGTTAGAAGTCCGGTGGCCACCAGATGGCGTTTTGAGCCTCAGGGTTGTTTTTCTGTAAACTGTGACTTCAACACAATGAGAAATCCCAACCCCCCATATGTGCACGGATTGTTTTAATGTTAAAACAGGGATATATGATATAGATGAATATATGGGAACCCTCTCTGAAAGTCTGCCCATACCCTTAAATCGTGTGGATTTATGGTATACAGGAATTGTACATGATCTATGTTGCAGGCATCATGTAAGATTCAGCTCTGTTGTTTTCTGTTGATGGATGGAGAGGTTGTAGTGTCCCTGGATGTATGTGAGACCATATGTGTGGATTATATGGCAGATGAAAACAATGCATTTGCAAGCCAAGACATAAGAGTGAAAAATGTAAGGCTAAGAAAAGATGCCAAGGTGAACCAGTTATGTGTGGTTATATGTAATAAAGAGAGGTGATGTGTGTTTTTATTTGTTTCTAGTGGGCCCTACAATCTGTACACATATTTCTTATAGCATTCTGAATAAAAAGCCTGGAGATGAGTAGGGATGAGACTTTTTGGGGATATGTATTTATGTATTTTAAATACAACACATGAGCTGTAAAGACTCACCTATAAATCTACTGTGGTGAACATTTCTTTGTGCAGTCTTTCAGCTGTTTAGCCAAACTTGTCATCTGGCTCAGAGCCACACTTCACTGCCTTGTTCCAGAAGGCGGAAGGAGGGGGCAGCGGAGCGCCGCGCATGCGCCCAAGGTTGTTTTTCACACAGCCTGTCGCTTAAAGTGAGCTGAGCTACGGGGGTTTCCTTGTCTTTGACTGGAGACCAACTCGCAGAGAGGCGGATGATAACAGCATCCCTTGCTGTTATTCAGCCATCACACATCTCAATGAACTGCTCGCACAGAAGCCACTGATCGTGCCTACTGCTTTTTGCAGGGCAGAGATACTGATCAGTGTCTAAAGACTGCATCCCCCCCCTTTTTTCTTATGAAATTATATTTTTCATAGACTCTCTTTTCTAACTTCAAGGTCTCTGTAGCCTATCTCTTTCCACCATGGTGCTAGGAAAGGTAAAGAGCTTCACAGTGAGCTACGACTGTCTCAATGACAGCAATGTTCCCGTCTTCTCCAGCGGGGACTGCGTCTCAGGGAGGGTGATCATCGAAGTCACCGGAGAGATCCGCGTGAAATCTCTCAAAATCCACGCTAAAGGATTTGCTAAAGTTCGTTGGACTGAGTCGAGAAATGCTGGATCCAACACTGCCTACACGCAAAACTACACAGAAGAAGTGGAATATCTAAATCACAAAGATATTTTAATTGGACATGAGAGAGGTAAGAGATTTTTGTTTTATTGTAACAGCAGAAGTTTTAGAGAAACTGTGGATGCTCTTTGTGCTGGTTGAGATCAGCTTCACTTGGCAATGCTGTTTCCTTATATTTCAATGTTAATACCTTAATAATAAGAATTCAAAACCTTTTATATTGTAGTTTCTTTCATGTGCTGGCGTTGGTATAAGTGGCTGCATACAGCTCCATCCTTACTTGTGTGTGTCAAGGTGTCAGAATGAATGACAGCACCTCGACTGTCTTGTGTTTTTCACAGTATTTCAAGTATAAAACGACAATAATTCTCATTTTTAAAACGCGGGACGACAGACTAATAACGTGCAGTGGTGTATGTGCGGCTTTGTTGGACATTTTCGACGCAGAAACGCGTTAAATTTAGCGTTTCTTTGTAGCTTTTCTTAAGTTTCCACCCATTGTTCAAAGCGGTTCAATCCTGTTCAGAAAACTGGACCGGGCGGGGGCGGAGCGACGCGCATGCTCCTCCCCCGCCCGCGCGTGATTGGCTGAGGTGCTCATGTGTGGCCAATGACATCACTGTTCTTGCAGAGAGTGACAGAAAATTCTGCAACTTTTTAATTAAGAAAACACCTGCAAAACGGCATGAGTTGGTACAAGTAGCTGTTCAAAATATATTATAATATGCGGTGTTGGTGCAAAATTGATAGTGTCCATTCTTCTTCCATTGACAACACCATTCCTTTGCACATATGTGCTTTGTAGGGAGATAATATGATGTTGCATTGGGGTTTATTGTCACTGCTTTGTGCTTCAGACATTCGCGTTCATTCAACCGCATTATGGTTGCTTTTAATACGGAAAAGCCTTCATTGTGGACGCTTGCATGTGCATACGTGTGCCTTTACTGGCTTGGGTTTCGCTTCCTTCATGTGCAACACCTTTTTACTCTTATAATTAAATGGATAAATAGTTTCTGGTCCACTCGGCAGCAGCTTATTGAGTGTGTATCAGGCGAAGCTGTCATTTTGCTTGACTGTCAGACATTTAGTCTGCCTACGGCAAGGGCTAAGGGTTAAATTGAGGTGATATATTGTTGCAGTACGCGCAATAATACTTCTTACAAAGCTACTATTCTCCCCAAGCTATTTATGAGACATTTCCGGTGATGCTGAAGCAGATAAAAGGGTGGAAAAACTGCGGTAGTAGGTGGTCGGAGGGAGCAGGCTTGTTAGTAGTGACTGCGGTGTCGCACAGTGAATGCGTAATGAGAGCAGAGCGGCTGTGGGAAGCTGCTCACACCGGTTTAGGCCGGTCTCCTCCTGCTGGAGTCTGCCGTTTGACTGACAGCTCCGCACTTGTTTACCACACGACTGCTGCTGCTGCTGCTGCTGCTACTAGGGGGAGGGAGTGCTGAGCTGGCAGAAGCACACCCGGCTTGTCGACCCAGCTCTTCAAAAAGCACTCTTGTTGGTTTAAATGGAAAAAAAATGTTTTTAATCCTTATGAGCAATTTGCCGACGCCTTACCCTCTGCAATAAGATGCTCTTGTTTTTCAGAGATAAATGGAAATTGGTCCTAGTTTATGAGACAGATTCACCTACACATTTTGTTGTTGCCCCATATATCCCAGTCCCCCCCACAATAGCTTGGTATTTCCATCATATATGCCACAATAGGATCTCTTGGATGTTGTTCTTTGTCCATACAAAAGCACGCTCAGTCATGCACGTACAGTTTCTGCCACCTCATACACAACTTCTTTGGTGTGCTCTAGTCTAGATATTAGTCTGCTGCTCATCTCTCAATACATTTTTATTTCAACGGACAGATATGATAGTAAAATCCGTTTATTCTCTTCTGTCTCCCCCACCCTGTGTTTTTTGGTATGACTTTCAGATGCCTTCGTAGAGCATTTTGCCCAGGTATGGTATACATGTGTTTGGAATATTGTCCTCCTTGTGTTTCAGACGATGACAACTCGGAGGAAGGACTCACCACTATCCATTCAGGAAGACATGAGTATGCATTCAGCCTCGAGCTTCCACAGACGTAAGTGTTTTAATACCACACTTTGAATTGAATATCAACATTATCGTTATTGAGCTGGAGGGTATACAGTATGAGCTCTTGACAGTTAATGTAATCCCCGTTCTCTTCTTGTTCCCTCATCTCGTCTTTCCTGTAGACCTCTGGCTACCTCTTTTGAAGGGAAGCACGGCAGTGTGCGCTATTGGGTAAAGGCAGAACTCCACAGGCCATGGCTCCTGCCAATGAAGACCAAGAAGGAATTTACAGTCTTTGAGCACATTGACATCAACACTCCATTATTGCTGGTAAGAGCTCTTTAAACAACCTTATATTTAGTGTAATTATGGGCTGAGACATTGGACAAAGAGAATCAGACTTTGGTGACACTGCTCGGGAATATATGGAAAAACTCTCTGAATATTTGCTAATGCGTCTGTTTTCCTTTTTCTTCAGTCACCACAGGCCGGCACGAAAGACAAGACACTTTGCTGTTGGTTCTGCACCTCAGGTCCTATTTCCCTAAGTGCCAAAATCGAAAGGAAGGGATACACCCCAGGTGAGAATGAGTAACTGATTCATAATGAGAATCTTGTTAGTCATCTATTCACCAGAAGTGCATTAATCAGTGATGACAATAAGATGATTACCATTGATGGACACATAGAGTAACTCGGATTAACCTCTCCTCTACCCTCTCTGACTTCGCAGGAGAGTCGATCCAAATCTTTGCCGAGATCGAGAACTGCTCTTCCCGCATGGTGGTGCCAAAGGCAGCCATCTATCAGACCCAGACCTTCTATGCCAAAGGGAAGATGAAGGAGGTCAAGCAGCTGGTGGCCAACCTGCGGGGAGAGTCTCTGTCCTCGGGCAAAACCGAGACCTGGAGCGGCAAGATGCTCAAGATCCCGCCTGTCTCTCCCTCCATCCTGGACTGCAGCATTATCAGAGTGGAGTACTCCCTCATGGTGAGTACAGTCTTGCTGTAGTTAGGCTACACTCACACACCATTCTTTTTCTTTGCCACTTTACCTTTATTGGCACATAGGTGTTTCTGCCCTTATTACAGTCTCCTCTTGTTCTTATAATCACCATTACTCAGCACCATTATCAGTACAGAATCAATATTTCCTAATAGGCCAATCAGTCTCATGGTGAAGGTCCTGGCTGACTCAGCTTGCATTGCCAAATCTGGGCCTTGGATTGCACCAGGTGTTATCTTCACATGCTGCTAAGAGCATTAGCCCAGAATATCTTTGGTAACACCTGCCTCGAAGGTGCTTATAACCTCTTTACTCTGCGAACAGACAGCCACCAGGCGCAGACTCTGCCTTGCATAAGCACCAGACCTCAAGTTACTGACCCACATATGGTTGAACTCATTTAGCCCAGACAAGCATGGTTTTATTTTATAGAGGATTAAAAAGCTGTTTGATTTCATGCTGAATGTTCCACTTCAAAGCCCTTTATTTACACTGCAGCATGTTTACTATACCCGAGAATGACTTGCATTTTCTGACCTACTGTGCTGTCCTCACGTGTTCAGGTTTACGTGGACATACCTGGGGCGATTAACCTTTCCCTGAACCTGCCCCTGGTCATTGGAACCATCCCTCTCCACCCCTTCGGCTCCCGTACCTCCAGCGTCAGCAGCCAGTGCAGCATGAGCTGGTTGGGCATGGGACTGCCTGAGAGGCCTGAAGGTAAGTTGGATCTCAAGGTCATGATTTACATTAAGGACTCTATTCTTGAGTATGCTTCCCAAGAATGCTAACACGTGGCTCGCTCTTCCTCTGCAGCTCCTCCAAGCTATGCAGAAATTGTGACAGAAGAGCAGAGGCAGAGCAGTCTGGATGTCCCAGCAGCCCGTGAGGAGCTGGACGGACCTCTCTTCGCCTACATTCACGAGTTCCGCTTCCAGCCTCCTCCTCTGTACTCCGAGGTAAGCACCAAGTAACACAGAGCAAGGCATTTGTCCATTTATATCTTTATTACAGACTAAATTAAATCAGATGTATTTCAATATATTAACCCTCTTTTTTTTCCCACTCCAGATCGATCCTAACCCCGATCACGCCACACGCACAGAGGAGCGCAGGCTCGACGCCTGTCCATCACGCTGAAGGGTATTTCTGAAATTCCCCCGACTGACTTGGGGATCTCAAAAGAAACCCGCGTGCAAGGCTCAGCTTTGTTTATTTTTCTCCAACAACAACGTTCACACAACGCTGTTGACAGCAAGAGAGAAATGAAGTATCCAACCAACAGACAAAGACTTGGACAAATACCCACGGTTGAGTTGGGTTGGACAAACCTGTTCCTGCCTTCCCTCAGCGAGAGAAACAGGAGTCACTAGTTTGGGGCATCGCTTCCTTCCTGTGTCAGCCTGCTGAGGATGGGACACATACAGACAAACACATATTCAGTCTGTATGAAAAGCCCCACTGGTAGCGAGAGCCCGGGCGATAGTATTGACAATGACGATGAAGAATCAGCAAGGCTCTGCCTGCCAAGCTCCTCTTTAACCCTTTGATTCTTCTGAACTCGTGGCACATAAGGACATGACTCCTAATACAAAGGGCAGGACTAATCATGTCCAGACTTCAGCAGAATCACCTAAAGAAAACGGAATGAAGAGAGAAAATTAACAACGTTCTAACCACCATAGTCTGTATGAATGAGAGCATTCAGTGGCAGCAGTCAACAACAGAGCAAAGACTAGTTCCTCCTGCCTCATTTTGGATTTTTGTTTTGCACATTTTATTCTTTACTTGAGTTGTGTGGCTCTGTTTAATGAGAATTGAAAAAAGAAATCACTAATAGTTTGGTTCCAGCCTTGTAATGCACCAGACAAAGAATATATGAGACTGCAGGCTTCTTTTAAGACTTTCATCTGCATAACTTTTGAGCAGCGCTGAGAACAGGATTTGATTTTGGAAAAAAAAAGATTGACAAGGACAAGAACAATGCACTGAATTTGTTTAAGATTTTTTTCTTTTTTTCTCCTTATGACATTTCCTCAGTGACTTATAATAACCATAGACTGGACTTTAACAAAAACTGCAGCACACTATCTCCACCTGGAAGCTCTTTTAAGATGTTGCCTCCTCAGCTTGGATCCAAGTGTGGCTTCCCTCCTCTTTTAGTTTAGCTCTGTTATTCTGTTTTTGTATTTAGCTCCAATCATAGAATAGCTTTTTAGCCTTTTTTGTGTTGAGGTTGCTCTGGATTTGGACTAGGAGGGTTGCAGACCTGTATTTGCCACTCAAAAAATCGTAGCTGAAGAGAAAAGTGTGAGTCCGTGTATGAGCGTGTGTGTGTGTGCGTGTGAAACAGAGAGGGTGGTACCCTAATTACCTGCAGCCCCTCTACTCCTAATCTCAGGGCAAGCCAGGCTTGCATAACTGCCCAAAAAGCACTGTCTCAGGTGGTCGTCTCAATTGCCAAACGGTTGGAAAGAAAAAGAGAAAAAAAAAATGTTATAGGTTTTTCTTTTAAATTGCACTGTTAAAAATAATGAAGCGTTTTGTTTTTTTTTTTTTTTGTAACTACCAAAACAAGAGGATAGACCTGCAGAGAAGCAAGGCAGCTTTCCGAGATTAATCACATTCCCTTTTTGTCCTGCTGCACTTGCCCAGATCATCCAACCAACAGTTAGACTTTACCAGACCAGTGAAGCCAGAATGCTAGCTATAAAAAAAAAAAGAAAAAAAAAAAAAGAAAGGAAGGTAAAAGAGGCGCGACAAAGCAAACCCGGCACAAATGTAAAGCCGGGGATGTTGCTGAACCTCTGTTCAGACTGGTCAGAACAAGTAGTAGTAGGTTGACATGAGTAATACATTGGTTTTCTAACTCATTCAACACAAAAGACCAGCTGCAACAGAGGTTTGACATAGAGAAGTAAAAAAGAAACAGCACTTTTTTGATAAGAAAACAATGAAAAAAAAGCATTCAGTGGTGAAGGTCTGGAGAAAAAACGTGGTACCAACCATGTTATACTAGAGGATTTTTCAGTAAAGCAGTGTTGTGTAGGACGTTAATGCATTTTTTTTAAGATTAGTGACCTTTTTTTAAGTTTACATTTGAAACGTAGCTGACACAAGTTTGTGCGTGTATGTGCATGTGTGTGTGTGTGTGTGTGTGTGTGTGTGTGTGTGTGTGCACGCTCTTATCGAGATCCAGCTGGCAACTAAATACACAGCTTCTGACAGTAATCCACAAACTGCAGATTATTAAAGTGATCTTATCTTCGTGGCCTTGACACAGAAAAGACCTGATCATGATTCTTCATCTTACAGTGTCTTTGTTAACTCGTGTTCTACTTTTTATTATTGTTTGTACACACCTGTATGTTTTAGACCTTTCCATGTTTATTCAAAAGGACAAAAAGGGAAGAGGGGAAAAAAAGTCCTTTAGAAGCAAGTGTTGCAAAAATGATATCCTGGACAGGCCTCTCGATTGTGTTGTTTTTCTGACGCTGATGAAGCTATTTTTTTTTTCCATGTATTTCTGGGCATTGATATAGTTTGCTTCCTAGTTTAACAAGCAACGTTCCTGAGTTAGCCTCCCTGACCTCTTTGGTCCCCCCTCAGGCCTAGGGGTGGCAGCTGTTGATCAGCATCCCCCCCACCCCTTTGAGAAACATTTAGGGATAGCATACAAACCCCTTCTTCCACGGTAAACTTATATCTTATCCTGATTATATTTGTTTGCAGTTCTTTGTTTGGATTTTTATCTTAGGGAAACTGAATCGAGCTACACGCTAACGAATAAGCTTACATATTTTTTTCAGGTTGGTCAATTCCATAGTCCATTTGCTTGGGCCACAGAGTAGTCCAGTGTCAAAACTAAGCTAAACTCCTGACCTAGTAAAAGGCAGGAGCTGAAATGTTCAGAGATAAAGAACCCAGGAGACGGGATCTGAAACATTTTAGAAACAAAGTGCAATATCACTCACTGAATTTTTCTTCATTCTCCATTTGTATGTTTGTTTTTATCTCCTCTTTTTTGTCTGTCAATCATGATGATGTATAGATATTCTATGAATATACTACGTTCTGAATGGTTTAACCTTTTGTCTAGTTCTTCCTTTTGATTTGAATAAACGTTTTGTTCTAAATTACAATGGACTGTGGTGTGAATATCTGAGAGAGAATGAACACAAAAGTATAAGTACAAGTATATATTTAGAACATTTGCTTTTGTTTTGTCTGAGCACCACTCTTTGACAGAGTTACATCCAAACATCCTTTCACCTGAAAAGCAAACAGTGCTCACACGAGGCTGCACATGATTAATCATTACCCATCGCTTTACCCCAAATGTATTTTATTTGGGTCATGACAGCTTCAGATTAGAAGCAAACAGGTTGTCACTCTGCTGGACTCAGATTATCCTATGAAAATTAGTACAACACTGCCCCTAGAGGTGGTTTTAAAAAGTGCACCTGGCCTCTGCTGGGAGAAAGTTTCATGTTGGTCCTGAATAAGCCGTACGTTAAGCACAAGTGACTGAAAAATGCACCTTACTTATATTTAAAGTGTGTTTTTAGGGCACAGAGCAGATAATATCCTCTTCTGTTAGGGGTCAGGATTTATTCGTCTTTGCATTCTGTTTGTGCATGTCCACGCTGGTCTTTCCTGACCACAGTTTCCAGGGTTTAAGTGCAGCTATTCCTCAGGTCAGAGGAGGAGAGATAGCTGCTCTTTTATCTTTGCTTAAGTGCTCCTTATGTGAATTATGTGACTGCTTCAGGTCTGAGTGACTCAGAGTGCCAAATAATTTACTCAGAGTCTTCTTACCTTAAAGTACAGGCTCATTTGCTTTTATTGGTGGGGTAAAAATAATATAGTTTGAATCATGTTCTCCAAAACAGCTGTTTTTGAAAGCAATGCATATCTTCTACTGCTGTTCAGTCAGGGTTAGCTGTTGAAATCTTATTAATCTTATTTAAGTCATAAAATATTGAATTATAATTTAGCCAATGCACCCTTTAAAAAGAAATGTGGATGAGTCACAGCACTCCTCTCTAGGATTCGCTCTTTGAAACCTGGAGTCGATGGCGACAGGCCAAGTGAAGCATAGTCACCGGTCCACAAATAAGAAAAACACATGATTTATTGATCTCTGCTGACAGATGCATGCACAAGAAAGGACACGCTGGCCTGCTGCAGCGCAATAATAGAGGAGGTATCAGCCATTTAAATGCACCAACAGTTTTCTATAATCTTCTGTAATCTCCGACACACAATGTTAAAGCTTCAGCAAATGATTTTTATTGACTTTGGGCTCTTTTTTCACTCAAGTCTTATTTGCGCAAATGTGTCACACCTTTGTAATGTTATTTTTGTGTTGGCAGTTTTATTGTGATTATTGCACTTAACATTTTGATACATTTTACCAATCTTTAAGTGAAATTCTCGTGGCTTGATTTGTAAATATTTATCTTGCACAGGGCTGCTCTCATTCTGGTACCAGCTTGTCTACACATGACCTATTCATAATGTGCAACAGTGTGTTTCGTGAGCAGTCAATCAATTTCACTCGTAGCACATCGACTCCTGTACTACGTCAACCCAGTTCTCAGCTAATTGATTTTGTTGGAATATACGAGCATGTATGCACAAATGAGCTCAGCAAATTCGATCATGCCGGATGTGAATGAATACACTGTGCTGTTCGTCTCGTAGGTCAAGCTGGAACGAAATGCTCAGAGTGAAAAAGGCATGAATGTCATTGCTATTGCATAAGCGAACCTTTGGATAACTAAATGTCCTCTGTGACGCAGGAACCTGCAGTAACTTGTGTAAAGAAGAGAAAAACTGCAAAAAACATTTACCCAAAACTGACATGTCAAGCACATAGTGACAGCTCGTCAACTTTACTGGGATTTTTTGCAAATTATCAGTTTAAACCAGCATCAGTGATGACTCAGCAGCTATGTCAGCTTTGACCAAGCACTTCAGTGTCCCTTTGTGCCCTCCTCTTCTCCCGTCGGTCCCCCGTGGCCCCCTTTTGGCTTTTTGGGCCCGGGCCTTTGTGGGTGTCTGACCCCTGCTACGAAAAAAGGAGGAGGGGATTATTGAGGGAGAGCGTAGATTGGGGCGGCATGCGTGTATGTGTGTGTAGTGGGAGTGTTGATTAGCAAGTGCTGACGCTACACAGGCCTCAGCTGTTTCCTCTCACCAGCTAATCCCACTACCCAGAAACCCCCTGTGATCCAGAGGTTCTCGGCAGCTTGCTGTGACCAGGCACGTTCAGCACGGATGAGAGGGGGTGGTTGGACTGAGGCCCCCGCACGTCTGCTTGCCAGTGCCACATCATCACTGTGACATAATAGAAACACACACACACATCTCTGCACTGAGGCACGGAGCACAGTGTCCATGCAAGCCCACACATTCCTCAAAACAATGGAAGAACCAGTGTTACTACAGGTCTAAAAACTGTCCTGCAGGAACAGATCAGCGGATAGTTATATGACTTTAGAACCGCTGTTTCATTAAAGACAGAGAAGTGTTTAACTTCCTCATGTGCGTGCCAGTTTACAGGAATAAAATGTGACATTATTTTCTGGGCATTATAAAATTAAACTAAAAATAACACCATCAATACTTTAAGTCCAAAAAAACCTTTGATCACATCTTGAATTAATACATTAATAATTTAGTGTTTGCTGTGTACAGCCTGAGCCTCTGAAGGGGCAGTCTGACCTCTGCAGCTGATAACTCTAATAACTGACAGAATGGAGCTACTGTTTGATTATCATTAACATACATGCTGCCCTGTGAATCTCAACGCTCTGTGTCAAACATTAATTGTTCCTTACTTATTTACCAAATGAAGCTCCCAAGAAAAGTTGAGTCACTTTTAGGTCTACTAACTTAATAAGGTGAGTCACTTCCAGGCTCTGCTGGCACACACTTCATATTTCTCCAAGAATCCAATCCAATCAATTTATTCACCTTTCTTTCCATATACAAAAAGAGAAAGATAGAAGTATTCAAGATAAATAAATACACTGGAACACTTAAATCACACAGCAGATCTTGATGAATAAATTCCTCAAGTTGAAAATCTTTACTGATGTACATTGTATAATTTGTTAAGAGCAAAATGATGTAACAACGGTCAATGTAAACCAAAATCATCAACCCACTGAGGGCTGGACTCAAAGTCACACTAAAATTCAAAGTAAAAAATTGAAATCACAGGCTGATCCAACTTGCCTGGATTTTATTGCAGCAACTCATAGTGTGACTCAGTAATGTGTATGGCCCCTGCATGCCTGTATGCACTCCCGACAATGTCTGGGCAGCCTCCCAATAAGTCAGGGGATCTCCTTCCGGACCTGGATCAGGGCATCAGTGAGCTCCTGGAGCCTGTAGTGGTACTTGAAGGTGTCAAATGTACAATACACAATGTCCCATAGGTGCTCAGTTGGATTTAGGTCAGGGAAATGAGAAGGCCAGTCAATGGCGTCAATGTCTTTATCATCCAGGAACTGCCTACACACTCTGGCCACATGAGGCCGAGCATTGTCCTGCACCAGGAGGAACCCAGGGTCCACTGCACCAGCATATGGTCTGACAATCACTCTGAGGATTTCATCCTGGTATCTAACAGCAGTCAGGGTACCATTGGCTATGACACCCACCGCCAAACCGATCATGCTGGATGATGTTACAGGCAGCATAACATTCACCATGGCATCTCCAGACTCTTTGACGCCTGTTATGTGTGCTCAGTGTGAACCTGCTCTCATCTGTGAAGATAACAGGGTGCCAATGGTAGATCTGCCAATTCTAGTGTTCTTTGGCAAGTGCCAGTCGAGGTACATGGTGCTGGGCTGTGAGCACAGGCCCCACTAGAGGATGTTGGGCCCTCATGCCACCCTCATGGAGTCTGTTTCTGACAGTTCGGTCAGAAACATGCACACCAGTAGCCTGCTGGAGGTCATTTTGTAGGGCTCTGGCAGTGCTCCCCCTGTTCCTCCTCACACACAGGAGCAGATACAGGTCCTGCTGCTTGGTTGATGCCCCTCTACGGCCTTGTCCAGCTCTCCTCGTGTAACGGCTGGTCTCCTGATATCTCCTCCATCCTCTTGAGACTGTGCTGGGTGACACAGCAAACTTTCTTGCTGCCGCACCTATGGATGTGCCATCCTTGAGCAGCTGGACTACTTGTGCAACCTGATTGGGCTGCCACATAATCTCTATAGCACTCTATAGGCTAACCTCGACTGACTGAGCATTGTAGGTCATTGTATGCCTCAAAGTTCATTATTTCAACCACTCGAACTCATCTGCAAAATCACTCACTTATTAAACTTAAAATATTCGAGCCAATCTCACGATTTCTGCCAAATGATTGAGTATGAATGTACAAATATTTGTAATTTCAGCTTGTCATCACACTTGTATGAATGGGCATTGAATCACAAAGCTTTCCTCTCTCAGTAGATGAAGGTGAAAGCCTTACAGTCTGCACACATCAGTCTGCGCAGTGAGGGGTCAAACTTCCCACAGCAAAAATATTACATTTATGAGTGTTGAGGACCTTCGCAGAATGATGAATGATACAGAATGAGTTTTAAAAGACCTGTGTTTGTAGGCATTTCTTTAATACATCCTGCAGGAAAGTACATCAAGGAACTCCAGTCACTGAACATTTTCATCAGCCCCTTTCGCACGCACAGCAGCAGCACTGCAGCCAGCTCTCCATCTGAGCACAGACTCACTCTGTTTTCTCTCTATGGGCACAAAGACAGAAAAGAGATAGAGCTACAGATAGACTGCAATGTTTTTTTTTTCAAGGGCTTTTATTGATGATCTTACTTGGCAGCTGGTTCATTCCAGTTTGAAGCACTTTTGCATGAAGAGGCTGACAGCAGAGGCTGCTGCTTTTTGCCACTGAAAGCTGGACTGTTTTTCGACCTTGCCGGGAACGAGTTGTTTACCTCCACACAATGCACCACATTGGACAGCTGAAAAGCGAAATGACACAAAGCAAGACCTTTTACTTTGTTTATGCTGTAATTTCACTTTAGCAGAGAGAGAGAACATTAGGATGAACCCCTCTGTGACCTTTTGTCCCTGGATCTTGTGTCTGTCATGCCTTTTCACT